GAACTGACAACAAGGCTCCTAAGACCACTAGGAATCGTGGTGGCCCACAAGCCCACAGCCACTCTATGGCAAACACTCACAAGGATTAAAGACACCATTCCCACAACATGCAGAACCAACGTAATTTACAAAATACTATGCAACGACTGCCACAAACATTACGTCGGACAAACAAGAAGGAAACTAGCCATCAGAATACACGAACATCAGCTAGAAGCAAAACGTCATGATGAACTCTCCTTAATATCTGTACATTCAGACAATGAAGGCCATCAGTTTAACTGAGACAAAGTAACCATAGTAGCCCAAGCCAAACATAGACACGCACGGGAATTCCTGGAGGCATGGTTCTCCACCCGTAATGCAATCAACAAACATATAGAATTGGACCCCATATACAAACCCATACAGAACAAAACCGGAAATGACACTACTCACCATAATGGGCCGGACAGTATAACGTCCAAGAGGAGTAGAATAACATTGCTTCATCCGAGGCTCCATTGATGATGTCACCTAGCATGGCGACGAAACATCTGAACAAAAACAAGCCAGCTTGGTGAGCAAGTCAACAACCTCACCCTCAACCCGAGCTACTGATCTCTGCCAATACTTTAAATGTTTCTCTACCTCTCAATACTAAATGCAGAGCAAAACACTTAAGATGTCTATTTGTAAAGGGAATATGTATCTTTATGTAGTGTTAAGAACATAATATAGAGCTTTGGATCCAGTGGGGTGGGATTGTTGAGGGTGGGGTGTTAGCTTGACATCGTGAAATTTAAATGATTGTAACTTGAAATTACTGAAATTGTAACACGTTCTTCATAAACAATTTAGCAATTTAGTACAGCTGCACAGAAGAAGTCCTGTGCCTTGATCTGTCTCTCAGTGATTTAATTGAAATTTATAACTTGCTGCTTTAGGAATTGTGAGGATGAGATTAGCATTGAACATCAAAGTAGAAATCACCAACTGGTGTGGCACAAAGTTGAACTTCCTTTGTGAGTGAAGTCAATGGACTGTCAACTCACCGTCAATCATTTTGCACAATACACGAGATGGTCTGCATTGCATTAACTGGTATCCTATCACATAATGTTGCAGTAATAGATTACTTATTAGGACTGAAGTTCAAATCCATGAAAATCATTTTCAAATTGTAGGCTATTCCTATCATCCTGGATTCAGAAGTCAATTCTAGATATGAGTGACAAAAAACTCAAGATTTCACTCTAAGCAATTCTGCTATTGTTTGATTTCTGGTAATACAATCATCAAACAGTTCAGCGATACTCACACTAGTGAATGTCCACTCTGTGCTTTAGTTGCTTAACTTCACCAAGAAGAAGACAGGATCATTGCCCATCCTTCTTTCAGGCAGCTGACTAGGCTATCCCTTTCCTTGTCTGGCTGCAGCAATAGCCCTAAAATCAATGAGCCTCATTCTGAAAGAGGTCTCTGCTTCCTGCGTGCTCCATGCTACTAAACACTTTCTGATTGACATGTTTCCTCAGCAGCAGCACACTGTGACTGCTCAGTTTCTCCAATCAGGACAACCCATGACTGACCCATTTCTCTGAAATATTGGTTTATAATTGGTCCATAAAGGTCCTGGCAGTAACTGGCCAACTTCCTTCTGGACCTTCTTGAAAATTGATTCTGTTCTGGTGTACATACAAGTTCAAAGCCTGTTTTCTCCCTGTGGTTCGTGTGATTTGGGAAATGGGTGCCACACTCCCCATCTGTGCTTCATTTCATTAAGCATCCATTGTACGGCAAATATTCTACTTAACATTCTGTACATTACATTAAACTGCAAATTGGAAATCACAATTGTCGCTTGGCCTTTGGTTAGATAACTGTGTAACATGAGCACAATGCCTGAAAATAATATCAATGTTCGGTATTAACTATATGTTAAAAAAAGTCACCAATGTTGTTACAAACATTTACAGTCTAGAGCAATGGTTTACCTCAAACTCACAGTTCTAAGCTCAGCACTTCGCAATTTTAGGTCAGGCTTCCCAAATTCACTGCAATTATCTACATTAGCCTTTAAATGTACCATAACAATTCTACATCTCTAGTGAATTTACATTGGCTCTATTAGCTTCTCTTGAGTCCAGATATAATGCCAGCAAGTAGAAGTTGTGACCCGGGCTTTTCCTTGCATTCATAAAAAGGCTTTCTCAATACAGTGACACTCAATATTTGAAATGCAGCAGCTGCCCACAAGATAAAGCTGTCTGGGATCATCATAGGCAATCATGAGCTAACAGCAATAATTGTTCACCTAAGAAATTTGGTGTCCCAGGGTTCTCTGTGTACTTAGATGGTTGATGAGCCAGATTCTAGAGCCAAATCTCTGACCACATATTTGGCGTGTATTTCCTAGAGGTGGAAGTGGTGCTTGGCCTTGAGATTGTTGGCATTCATGCCTCTGATTCTTTTTCCACACATCCTCGTAAAGCTGAATATTCTCAAAGAAATGTGGCCCTTCATCCAAGAGTTTCCTCATTTTCTTCTGAATGAGGATTTTCCATGCATTGACTACTTTGTTGCTTTTCTTGAGGGAAGCCTTCAGAGACTCATGGAGTTATAGAGTTGTACAGCATGGAAACAGACCCTTCAGTCCAACTCGTCCATGCCGAGCAGATATTGTAAATTAATCTCATCCCATTTGTCAGTATTTGACGTATATGCCTCTAAACCCTTCCTATTAATATACCCATCCAAATGCCTTTTAAATGTTGTTATTGTACCAGCCTCCACCACCTCCTCTGACAGCTCGTTCCATATATGCACCACCCTCTGCCTGAAAAAGTTGCCCCTTTGGTCACTTTTAAATCTTTCCCCTCTCACCTTAAACCTATACTGTCTAGTTTTGGACTCTCCCACCCTGAGGAAAATACCTTGGCTACTTACCCTATCTATGCCCCTCATGATTTCATTAATCTCTATAAAGTCACCCCTCACCTTCCAATGTTCCAGGGAAAATAACCCCAGCCTATTCAGCCCATCCCGATAGCACACACCGTCTAAGCCTGGCAACATCCTTATAAATCTTTTCTGAAGCCTTTCAAGTTTCACAACAACCTTCCTATAGCAGGGAGACCAGAATTGCACACAGTATTCCAAAAGTGGCCTAACCAATGTCCTGTATAGCCGCTACATGACCTCCCAACTCCTATACTCAATGTACTGACCAATAAAGACAAGCAGACCAAATGCCTTCATGTCTATCTGCGACTCCACTTTCAAGGAACTATGAACCTGCACTCCAAAGTCTCGTTGTTCAGCAACACTCCCAGGACCTTACCATTATGTATGTAAGCCCTGCATTGATTTGCCTTTCCAAAATGCAGCACCTCACATTTATCTAAATTAAACTCCATCTGCCACTCCTCGGCCTCTTGGCCCATCTGATCAAGATCTCATTGTACTCTGTGGTAACCTTCTTCGCTGTCGACTACACCTCCAATTTTGGTGTCATGTGCAAACTTACTAACCATAAGTAACTCCTACCTCACCCTGTCTTCTGCATATAAACCGACATTTTCCTAGCTAACATCAGTTCTGAGGAAGTGTCACTGGACCGAAACATAACTCCGATTTTTCTTCACAGATGCTGCCAGACCGGCTGAGCTTTTCCAGAGACTTCTGTTTTTGTTGCTAACCATGCCTCTAATGTTCACATCCAAATCATTTATGTCAATGACAAAAAGCAGTGGACCCAGCACCGATCCTTATGGCACACTATTCGTCACAGGCCTGAAAAGCAACTCTCCACCACCACCCTCTGTCTTCTACCTATGAGCCAGTTCTGCATCCAAATGGCTAGTTCTCCCTGTTTTCTGTGTGATCTAACCTTGCTAACCAGTCTACCATAAGGAACCTTGTCATAGGCCTTACTGAAGTCCATATAGGTCACGCCCACTGCTCTGCACTCATCAATCCTTTTTGTTACTTCTTCAAAAAACTCAATCAAGTTAGTGAGACACTATTTCCCACACACAAAGCCATGCTGACTATTCCTAATCAGTCCTTGCCTTTTCAAATGCATGTAAATCCTGTCCCTCAAGATTCCCTCCAACAACTTGCCAACCACCTATGTCAGGTTCACCGGTTTATAGTTCCCTGGCTTTTCCTTGCCACCTTTCATAAATAGTGGCACCACATTAACCAGCCTCTAGTCTTCCGGCACCTCACCTGTGGCTATTGATGAAACAAATATCTCAACGAGGGGCCCAAAAATCACTTCCCTAGCTTCCTTCTGAGTTCAAGGGTACACCTGATCAGGTGCCAGGGAATTATCCATCTTTTTGTGTTTTAAGGCGTCCTCTGCTTTTATGGACATTTTTCAAGATGTCGCTATTTTATTTTTTCACATTCTCTACCTTCCATATCCTTCTCCACAGTAAACATTGATGCAAAACAGTCTTTGAAAGGCTTTCTTTGTCCTCCTCTTGTTTGATAGGGCTAGGGCCTTCCTTGAGCAGGATGAAGAAGATTTGCTTCAGCAGACACAATTCAGGTATCTAAAGCGTGTGGCTGACCCAGCGGATTTGCTTTCAGGTGATCATGGCCTCAAAGCTTGTGCTGTTGGTTGCTTTGAGGATACTGATGTTGGTAGCCTATCATCCCAGCTGATGTGGTGAATCTGTTTCAAACAGCTTTGGTAATTCTCATAGGTGTTGAGGTGGTACCTATACGTAGTCGACGTTTTGGAGCTGTGTAGAACAGTCGGAAGTTTGATTACCTTCTACACAAGGGACTTCATATCAGCACAGATGTTAGCTCTGTCCAGGCAGTTAAAGCAAATGAGCCTTGGGAGTTAGTATCTCATGTTTGTCATCCTCCTTAGCTGCTGTATTGCAATTAACTGGGTGTTAAAGTCAGGGGTTTCCTGGTATTGTTGGTATTAAAATTGCAAATGGTACTTTAGCTTTAATTTGAATATAGTAATTGATTTTTTTTTCCTTTTATTTGTAATTTAGTGCAACGGAATCCTGCTGGACTTGAGCAATATGCCCTTGGAAGGGATAGCTGTTTTGAACATACCAAGCATACATGGTGGATCAAACCTTTGGGGAGAGAGCAAAAAAAGACGAAGCTATCATCGAGGCAGTAAAAAGGTGCCAGAGAAACGGGCAACAGTTATAGATGCCAAGGAACTGAAATTCTGTGTTCAAGGTAGGTAGCCATCCAGGAATAGTCCATTGCTCATGATAACATTAGATACTTATTCTAAAATTAATTCACACATCAGATTATCTCAGATGAGGTTCACATGCAAAGTTGTTTTCTAATTGTGATTATTATCCACTTCATCAAATCTGATGCATTTTCAGTTTTTATTTATTCATTCTAAGAAGTCAACAGTTTTGCTCATTTTTGCAATTCTTATGTGCAGAAGCTCGTTCATGTAGGTTTGACATGAATTAAATGATGAGCAAAAGGCAGGAATGTTTCCTTAATACCAAAGGCACCTCTATAACTGAAATATACGCAGAGGCCAGGCCAGTATCAGGAGTTTGAATTTAATCCAGAAGCAAATACTTATTAAAATGCAAATGTTTTCTTCGTTTCCGGAGTTCTCAACATGCTAATATTTTGATCTTTGTCATCAACGAACAGTTAAATTTCCATTTTCGAAGTAGGTGCATAATTCTTGGTAGAGCCAAGACCCCTGATTCTTCCAGTCTGCATCCATATAATTAAAATTGAATTAAGTTGAGGTACAGATTGCAATCCTAACCATTGGGTTGTCAATATATTTTGTTTTGATTTACTTTTGAAACTGGAAACAAAACAAAGCTCCTATCGCATATTCTTTTGCTAGTGATTTATTTCCATTTATCTTTTCTACATAATTCCTAGCTTGCTACATGTAAATGTATATCTAAATGGACACACACGTACTCATCTAGAGTTGAGATCTCAGCATTCTTGGCTTCCCAAACCCAACTCAGGATAAAGCGCCCCAAAAGTTTGAATTTTCATTCTGGAGGGGGCAAGCACAAATGAGAGTTTGAGGGTGGAGATATCCCTTGAAAGACTTGGAAAACTCCCTGGTGTGGAGGTAAGCTGGGTGAGAGGCTTCAGCACTTTGGCAAAGATATAATGAAAATAACAAAACAAAAAACACCTTCCAGCCTTCAGCCCACATCATGCCCCTGGTCCCTAACACTCCCTCCCTCCCCGACCGACCCCCCTCCAACACACCCAAACCCCTTGCACCATCCATGCCAACACAGAACAACTTATGACCTTCTACCTGCCTCCATGCCAATTTATGCCTCAACCCATTTCCCATGCCTTTTCTAGCCCTAATGCCAATTTAGTGACAACTCATGCACCACTACAATCCACACCCACAATCCTTTTGCCTTAATCCAAGCAAGCCAACATACCCAGAATTCATTAGTACAGACCTCAGGACCCAGAGATAAAATAAAACTCTTAAATATTGATTGAGAAATTCATCATTGAAAATGAACCACTCTAATTAATTAAACTCTTTTTCACCCTATTTAACTTTCTTTAATCCCTTCAAAGAAAAGCTTTTCAATTCATAGTTTCACATTAAAAAGTATGTCACAATTTAGACCTGTCATTTAAACTATTAACTGATAAGGCATCCCACTGTACTAATTAAAAGCCGTGAAATCAGTCATGCAGCACTAATCCTGTAAAGTTGATTTTCAAGATTATGTCAACACAGTAAAATTGCAAGCTTTTTTTAAGACTAGGGTCTTTTTTCCAAAATTTAAAGGGTGGATGATGTAACTGCTTTAGCAATTTGACAGTTCTCTTGAGATCTATCTTAGCAGTTCCAGTCAGTTTTTACACTTTCACTCACATTCGTGTCTACTTTTAACAATCCCAAAGGGGAACTAACCTCTCCTGAAGGTATCCCTGGGCTGCATGCAAAAAGGTACTTTATCTCGCCAAGAACTCCAACCTGTTTAGATCATCTTCTCATCAGTGTACCAGTCTTGGTTTGGACACCTCACTATTATAATCAGATCTGACTAAGGCAGTTGCACTGATGTGTGCAATAGTTTCTATGAACTGCAAATTGCAAACTGGAACCTGTCCTTAATTCCTCATTCACATCCCTGCAAAAATCGTAGGGTTGGGTTCAGAAACACGACTTAAGGATTTGTGCCTTTGCCATTTTCACGAAGGAAGAATCTTCCTTTCTCTCTCTCTTTCTCTCATTCGCTTACTTCTCAGACATCAAATAGATAAAGATCTCTTGGGGACAGTTATTATGAAGAAGACCCAACTTGGCTGAAGTCATGGTTCAGTAGTTAGCATTACTTCTGCTGAGTCATAAAGTTCCAATTTCAGGGCCCACGCCAGGGTTCGGGCAAAAACATCAAGCTGAGCAGCTAACAAGGGCCCATCTGCCTGTTTGAGTGATTGTAAAAGATTCCATTGCAAAATTTCAAAGAAGGAGTTATCTCTGGTGTTCTGCCAACATTTATTCCTGCACAATACCACAAAACACTACAGTCCTTATCACAGGCAAAATGTTCAACTTTTTTGCCCGGTGTCACGCTTAAAATGTAACAAGACTATTTCACCTACACTTTGGAGGAAGCCCTGTCGTATCACTTTCCAATTAGACAGTTTGGAGGCCAGTAGCGAGTCTTCCTTTGAAATCAGGTCCCTGGATGAAGAACACGAGTGTTGCCCATCAATCAGAGGCCAGCAGATTTCACACTCGGTAGAGCCACGGAGAATGCTGTGGCTGTCTCTGGAAGGAGCAAGGTGCCAAGGTAAGTGTGGTGGTGCCTGTCAGCGTGGTGGTTGTGTGTTGGGTGTGGACTGGTTCTGGCTTTGGTTGGCATGGGGAGAGAATCATAGGAGTCAGGAGTAAGGGCACAGGTTGGCTCTCAGTCCAAAGACGTTGGAGGACTGGAAATTGAGGTTGGGACAGATAATCAACATCAACCCACTGAAAGCCAACTCCTGCCCTATGTCTGTGAACTGAATTTTGCAAACATTAGTGCAGATCAAGGAACCCCACACCACAATCAACTGACTCACACTCTACACGGCATCTTGCCGAGCACAAAATAACTCATTTATGCCTGTCTTTGTTTCTTGTTAACAAGCCAATCTTCTATCCATGCCAATATATAACCTCTATATCATAATGCAGAGTCTTGTGTATGCTCCGAGTTGCCCACACATGATCCAGCTCGAGGAAAAATCACTAAAGATGCGCGAAATAACATCCTTAGTTTAATGATTGTAGCTCCTAATAATAGGTCAAGAAACATTTTGGCGATATGTTCCAATTGGTTTCTGTGTTATATGCTAATTGCAATACATCCAAACTCACAAAAGGTAGACTGGGTAAAGTTACATAGAAAGAATGGAAAGAAAAAAGGAGATAGTAAACATTAACATACATTTAATGCATTCTCCAGATGTGATGTGGTGGTGCCGGTGTGGAACTGGGGTGGACGAGGTCAGAAATCACACAACACCAGGTTATAGTCCAACAGGTTTATTTGAAAGCACAAGCTTTCAGAGTCTTACTTCTTCTTCAGATGTTAATGAGAGAGGTAGTATCAGACACAGAATTTATAAGTAAAAGATCAAAGGGTCACCCCATTGATGAGGATGTACTAAACAAGCCTAAGATGCTGTTAAATCTTTAATCAGTTAGAAGGTTTTAATTGATGAATATGAATATATTCCTTACTCACTAACACCTGAAGAAGGAGTAAGACTCTGAAAGCTTGTGTTTTCAAATAAACCTGTCGGACTATAACCTGGTGTCATGTGATTTCTGACATTCTCCAGACAATTAGCGGAAATTAACTCACAAAGCAAAACAAATATTCCTTAAGATTAACTTCTGAATTCCTACGTTCTTTGATTCTGGACAAAGTTCATGACAGTGTCAACCTCACTGTTTTATCTTTAATTATTTGAAAAAAAAACTCTTGAAAATTTTTTCCATTATTTTGGTTTACAAGAGACTTAATTTTCAGGGAAGTTTAATTGTCTTCCATTGGGAATTTGTATTCTGGAACCTGCTGCCACTAAAGAACTGGGTCTGATTCTAAATAAAAAGCACTGCAAGTTTTATTGTGGAATTAGAAAATGTCATGTAACTAGTAACTGTCAGTATGAAGACTCAGGAGCAGAGTGAATGAACCATGTAAAAAGCAATATCAGCACAGGCTAATAACTACGTTGACCGCCTATACTGCTGGCATGTATAGATTCAAAATTAGAGCGAGCAAATGCAAAAGTGGTACAGCCTCAGCTTTATTATTCCTACCAAGCACCAAATACATTATCCCCTCCTTAAGACTGTGGGTGTAATCTTGAGGAGGTGTTTGGGGTCTAAGCCAGCAGCTAGACAGACAGTGAGTGTTCTGCATTGCCCCTTTTTGGAAGATCCCACTGCGTGTTGTGCCACCCAGGGTCTTGACAGCCCAGTTGGGGCCCTATACCGTTCAGGCACACATGTCTTGCCTGCCAAGAGCTGACAGCCAATGTAAGGCCAGCGGTGCTTCTCAATGGCACCAATGGACATACAGCATCTGCTGTCCAGGCAAAAAGATGAGTGATGGTGGGAAGCAGATTTGCAGAGTGGAAGTTGTGTAAGTAGGTGGGGAGAATGGGCAGTTAACAAGAACAGGGGGCTGGCTTTAAGCAGCTTGCCTAACCACAACCTTTCTCCCTCTCCCAATCTCCACCATAGCGAGCTGATGCTGGGTGCTTTGATTGGGCACTGAGTGTATTGGATTCCTAGAAGTTAACAGGCCAGGTTTTGCTTCTCATGCTTTTTTGCGTGGAGAATTACCTTCTCACCAGTGAGCTCATTAACAGCACTGTAATGAGACCTTTATAGTTTCCCTTATGGTTTTCTCTAGGGCTCAAATGGCAAGAGGGTAGGAAAGTTCTATTGGGTTTTCTCTCAATGGACTGAATCGGGCTGTAAATGTGAAAATTGCAGGATCCCCCAACCGCCATCCTCTTGCTGAATCAATGTACAGCACCACCAAATGCCCTACTGGGCAGACATTAAATCTTGCCCCACAAATGAGCATTAGAATTAATACTACCTGGATTTTGAACACCACAAGTGCCCTTAAAATGACATATACAACACACATGTCTTCCTTGACATGAAGCACACCAAATGTCATTTTGTTAAAGGC